ACAAAGGGGAGGTTGGAAGCTGGACGATAGTTACTTAATATGGCTGGATCCAAAGATGGCTTCTTCAGGAGGGGTCTCACCACCGCCGCCTTTAAAAGGGGTGGGAAGGCTCCCACCCGAAGAGAGGTGGCCACTATCGTCTGCATCCAGCCCCGTGTCACCTCCCTGCTGTTCACGACCAGCCAGGAGGGGCACAGGTCCAGTACGCAAGTGGAGGCACTCACTGCTCCCATGGCCTTGTCCACTACCTCAGGCGTGACAAGTTGAAAATCAATCCATAAATTCTGCTCAAGGCCCTCCCCCGGTACCTCGGCTGGCTTTGAGCAATTGGAGTCCAGGTCTGTCCGAATCCGAGCGACTTTATCCGCTAGAAACTGAACAAACTCCTCAGCTCCTCCTTGCAAGGGATCACCCGGATCCCTCCCTCTCAAGAGGGAGCGGGTTATTCTAAACAAGGCGGCTGGGCGCGATTCAGCGGATGCAATCAGAGCGGCAAAATGTGCACTTTTTGATGCCCGTATTGCCATGAGATAGGCTCTGATATAGGCTCTCATCAGTGCTCGGTCTGACCGTTTATCTCAAGCCTATTCAAACTCAGTTATTAATGATTGAGCCACTACCTGTGTTGGAAATTGCTTCCAAGCTTCCACTACTATTTTTGTGAAGTAATATTTTCTAACGTGACTTTTGAACTTCTGTCAATTGAGCTTATGTTCTATGTTCTTAATTAAGTCTTTTGTGTATATACAAATTACAGATATAAAGCCATCAGAGTAGGGGTTGTTTTTTTTTTGTGTGTTAAATGAAGAAAGCTACTCATGTACTTGTCCCAACTAGACTGTTGTTTCTGTGTCATGTATGTGGGGTAGGTGGGTATATGCATACTTTTTATTTAGTTTATGTGGTATATATTGGAAGTGGTGGCACCTTGAGATCTGTATGCAACAAAATTTCACGTTAATATATGCTGATTAGTACATTTAAAGTGACAGAGTTATTCTAAGTGTAAGACTAATGTAATCCTGTGCAGTAACCTACCTTTCTTATGTGTTGAATGGATTTACTCAATTCATCTATAAAACATACCAACAGCCAATCATCTTTTCAAATGTAGTTTCTGAAAGATCCAGAACTGGATGAGAAACATATCCATATGCTTGGTTTTCCCCTTCTCCGTGAGACGCTACACAGAAAACAGGTAAATGTGGGATTAGATTTATGCCTTACTTAACTATACCCAGAAACCTTCACTGTAGCATCTGAAATTAAGAAAAGGATAAACCCCCTGACTTAGATAGATGCTATGAATGAAAGCTGTGCTAAATATTCTAGGGTAGAGTAACTGCTTGAGGAATCTCCCCATCCTCTGGAAAGAGAGAAATAATAGACAACATATTTATTTTTTTAAAGCAGGAAAGTTTTATTACAATAATTTAATAGAAAAAAACCCCCAGAGTTTAAATAAATTATACAAATACAAAATTAAAATAATTAATTCAAGATAACCTCCTCCTGGGAGTGGAGGATATACTGAAAGAATTTGGGGCGGGGCAGGAAAATTTGAGATAACACATTAGTTCATTACAATCTCAACTCTCTCCCTCCTGCCATTATTAGGCATACCCAAATAGAATCCATCAAATTCTGGATTAAAGGACTGCTGGAATGCCCTGCAGCAATTTGCTACATCTAATGTGAAACTGTGTACCATTCCAACAGAAAACAGAGAGAAAGTTCAAATATTGTGGTAGGTTGGACAGGGGTAATACAGGATCAAGTATTGTGGTGTTCCAAATAAATGGAGAATTTTCTAACAAACCTTACATTTGATTGTGGCCAGAAGCGTGGGAACATTATATATACAGTATATGCCTACTAAACTAAAGCATTTTAAAAGATATCTTACATTGTGAGTGAGTGGAGAGACTTCACATGAAATTTAGATTCAGTTATGTTAGAAGGCAAAGACAGCATGGAAAGAGCCCACTAAAATTTAGTCTGGAGAATTAGAGTTATTATCATCTAGATCACGAGTGTCAAACTCACGGCATCATGTTGCCATCAGGTGACGTTTTGTGATATTTCCCCCCTTTACGGAGCTGGGGTGGGCGTGGCCTGGTTATGATGCATCTGGCTCGCAGATCACCAGTTTGGCATCTCTGTGATAATCTTATCATCTACATAACCAATGTTAACTTTAACTTAATTAACAAGTTGATTAACATTAAAAAAAGCAGTCAGATGAAAGAAGTTGTGAAGAGAGCACCACAATCTTAATCTGTGTATACTGTGAGGATTACAAGGCAGACCGATTGGGCTGGCTGGGGAGCGAAGGCCAGATATTAAGACTCAAACCAATAATTAGAACCTTCCAATAAATTATACGATGACCAAGGCCTTTTATTGTCACAACAAAAATAACTGAGAAGGGGAAGATGTGCTCAAATTAGTTATAAAGAAATAAGATTTTTTTTAAAAAAACAACGACCCCGAACAGAAAAGACTCAAAAAGAGCACAAACACCATAGAGGATCTTTTGGGCAAAATATTAAAAGAAAAAAAGGTCCTCTTTTGGCACGGAAGAATTGGAGAGATGAGGACCTTGGAAACAAGGCTGGATCAGTCTTTGAAAACAGCCTGGTGGCCATGAGGGCGTTCGTCATGCATAATGTGCCTGCGGACGTGAATGCGCCGGACGCGGTGCTCTCGCCCATCTTCGTCATCACCAGCACGGAGGGGGCCTCCGCCTCCACCCGCAACTCCCCCGGTGGCCTCCAGGAGGGCCTTGTCTGGCACCCGTGGTGTCTCATAGATCAGGATGTTCAGGGTCTCTTCAAAGATCCGGGCTTCGGGAAACTCGACCTGTACACCCAAGGGAAAGCAGATATGAAGCAAGTCTTAAGCCTCACTATGGGATCCCCTGTTCAAACTGGAAGCAATTTAATTAACCTCAGGTAATAAGCTCAATGCCAGCTGCTAAACAACACAAACTAGAGGTAACTACGGCCTCGTGTCCTTCCTGTGAGCTTAAGCATCTCATTAGCTATTGCAAGGACAGGATTCTGGACCAGACAGACCTTGAGTTTTGTCTTCTTACATGTTTAATTGGATTTAGGAAAGGCTATTTTCTTCAAGAGTTTACATTCCCATATGAAGACACCAAAACATACAAGTAGTCTTCAACTTACAACTGTAATTGAGCCTGGAATTACAATGGAACGGAAAAAAGTGAGTATTTTTCAGTTATGGCCGTTGTAGCATTGCCCATGGTCACGTGATCAAAATTCAAACACTTGGTAATTGACTAACATTTATGACGGTTACAGTGTCCTGATGTCTTGACGCCTTTTGCAACCTTCTGACAAGCAAAGTCAAATCGAGAAAAAACAGATTCACTTAACAACCCTTCTGCTAATTCCGACAACGGCAGTGATTCACTTAACGTGGCAAAACTGCAGTGATTCACTTAACAAATTTCTCAGAAATGTTGGGCTCAACTGTGGTCGTACGTTGAGGACTACCTGTATTAGAAAATCAAAGCTTCATATTTGGAGGCCTGAGGACTGGCCACACTTTACCTTGGTCTGCTTCTTTTCGGTGGCATAGACAATGGAAGTACAGCAAACCTCTGCAATCTTGCGGCCCTGCCCATAGAATGACCAGCAGCAGATCTCATCCCCAAGAACGTCTTTGATGAAAAGCACTCGTCCATTGAACCTCAGAGCTAGTTTGTCAAACAGTTCGATATTCTTCAGTAAGTTGTCATCAGAGTTACTTTCGGGAGGGGAGTGGAGAAGAAAACAGTGGTATAGATACTACTAAAGAAATGGGACAAGTGGATGACTTGGACCTGGGAGATAGCAACGACCCCAAGGTTATCCTATTCTGACAACAGGACCATAGCTTACCTGGTATAGGAATACTTGTTATTACTTCTGTTATGCAGTAACTTCACCACAGGCTAAAAGGAAGGTGAGAGATATGAATGAATTTAAGATCGCACCCCTCCTCTTGCTAAGAGGTGTATAGCAAAGCAAACTAGACCTTCCCTCATACTGGGGGATGGGAGAAGGCTGCCTTTAGAAGAACCCCCACTTGCCTTGATACCATGATATATGAAGACATACACCCAAGACACTTAAGTGTGCCTGATCTCTATGATTTCCTGAGGTAAAACTTTTGTGACTTCTTGTGTGTTACCTTGGAACATCTTGAGATGATCTGCTGTTCTTCCTTGGGAGATGTCACCATGGGGATATGGCAGAGAGGATCATAGGCTTCATTTTTTTGCTAAGGAGGAGAAAAATATTTTTCTAGACTTACTATTCATTATTGACAGATGTACTAAACAGATTCATACATCATGCTAAAACGTGATTTGTGAATAAGCCATCATTGACTGGATCCACAAAATTCTGTTTAAGCCATAAACAATGGCTTAGAAAACATAACCACTCTGCACAAGCGGGTTCAATTAAAAGAAATTGAACCACAGTGCAGAGCAATGTGTAAACCAGTGTTTTTCAAACCTGGCAACTTTAAGATGAGTGAGCTTCAACTCCCAAAATTCCCCTTAGCATTCAAGCTGGGGATTTCTGGGAGTTGAGATCCAGATATCATACAATTGCCTAGTTTGAAAAAAAAAACCTGATGTAAACCAAGTCTCTGTATGCTCTAGGAAGATTTAGAATTAAAATTAAAGGCATAGAAGAGGTATGTTTGTGGGCTGGACACACCTGGCCTAGAGTCTAACAGAAGTTTAAAAAGGGAACTGGAAATAACAATTGAAAATCATACGCTTTTCTAATATGAAGTCAGTTTTCCTTCATAAATACTCAATGTAAACATATACAAAAATGGGAGAATATATTCAACATGAATGTAAGTATCCATGCTTTTCATGTAATATCTAGTGAGTTCTTTCTTTCTTTTTTTTGGTAATGCATTTTAAATGACCCAAAACAGAATGGAAAAATAATATGGAAAGAAAAAGATGATTAAAGAACCAATTTGTATACCTTTACGTTGACTCTTAAAATATCTCCCTTTACCCTTTTTTCATTTTAACTACAATTCTATGAAGTAGGTAAAGCTGAGATAGTAGTATTAACTCGAAGTCAATCAGGGTGCTTCTATGGCTACAGAGGGAACCTCTCAGCTAGCACCTTCCTCAATATAGCAGCCCAGCTCTCAGGCTGCGAGAAGATTGGCTCAAAGTCACCCAGTGAGCTTCTAGGTCTAAGGATGGATTAGAAGTTGGGTCTCCAACTCCAATAGCGGAGCCATTACATCACCCTCTGTATTGTTGCAAGTGAGACGATAATGGCTGGATGATGCTAGAAGACACTGAGACACTACTGGGGATAGGGCTCAAGTGAAATAATCACCAGGAGAGCACATTCTGCTAAAACAGAAGAGCTCTGTCATTGGTTCCTTCTGGGTAGATAGGACAGATCCTGGTTTCTTCTCTTGTCATCTCTTCCAAGGATGTGACACTCAAGGAAATCATTGAACCTTCTCAGCCAGCCACTCTCACCTGTAATGCAAGCTGGCAGTCCTCAACCAAACCTTGGATCAGATAATACCGGGCTTCACACAATACTTCCTCCAGCTCCCGCTGTGACTCTGGAAGAGATACTGAGCCATCTCGCAAATAATTCAAAATAGTTCCAAAATGGCGGCCGCTTCGGTCAATCAAGATCCAACCTGGAAAAGCAGTTAATTTTAGTCCCTAAAATTAATGGGTTAAAAATGCTGTAGACCAGGGTTTCCCAATCTTGGCAACTTTGAGATATATGGACTTCAACTCCCAGCATTCAAAAAGCCAGCCATGCAGGCTGGGGAACTCTAGGAATTGAAGTCTACAGTTCTTCAAGGTTGTCAAGGCCAAAAAACCCTGCTGTGGAGTGAAGAATATATTTAGGGAACCTCCCCATTCCAAAATGGCTTGGAGGGGAAGATACAGTTATTATTATTTGCACTAATACAAGATTATTTTGATGCTAGAAGAACAACTTCTTCTTTTAATTAATTCTGGGCTTACAATGTACTTCATATCTCAAAAAAAAAATATGTAACAACCCTAGCCCTAACGAAATCTTTTTTAATGAATCTACTTTGGATGTTATGCCTTGGCAAGTGGCAGCATTTGGTTGATCTTGTCTGGCCTGGTTATTACTTGGAGGAGATATCGCCAGGAAGTACAAAGTGTGGCTGGCTGGGGAATTCTGGGAGTCGAAGTCCACACCTTTTAACAATTGCTGAGAAAAGCCCACTCTAAAATAAGTCACCCTGAAATTTTCCGAGTGCTCCTTGGGAACCACCTTGGATGAATCCCCAACGCAATCTCCCATCATGCAGAAAATCCCATTTCTAGCTGTGGGAGAGATGGGTCAAGCTGAAACTCATACCTTCGCTATCTGTGAGGACTTCCATTCGGCCACTGAACATGGCCTTGAGCATGGTATCTTGCTTGGTCAGGGTCTGCACGGTGGTGTAATGCAGAGATCCTCCCACATTCAGCTTGACGTACTTGCTGCTGGGGTTCAGGGGCTTAAGGTCCAAAGTCACCTCAGTTACCCCACCCCTGCCATCCCGTCGGTGCTGGGTTGGGACCAGTGGAGCACAATTCTCCAGGGATGGGGATGAATCTGTGGTGGCCTCAGCTGACATAGCCACCTACAGAAAAGAGAAACTGAGCGAGGAGATCTTCCAACAGCAGATTTCCTGCATGGAGCATCAGCTGAAGCGTTTCGGAATCCCTTTTTGACTTTCTCTAAAAGGCAGCCCATTTCTGTTTTTTTTTTAAAGAAAAAACAAGATGCAAACTTGGAAATTCTCCCAGCAAATTTATTTCCAGTATTACTTGGCTAAATGTCCCCCTGCAGCTCTGCCATTTATTATCACCCCCGCCCCCTTTGTATGTACCCTCTGCAATCAAAACTGGATTCATTCCATAACGCAGATAGCAGTAATGGATAACATTCCAGCTTATGGGATCTGTTTTATAGGTTACTAACTGAAGCCAAATATGAAGTAATCTCTTTCGTTAAGAGTTCACAAACAGAATGATTGTGGTGACATATCACACTACTAAGCCATATAGTGACTTGCTTGTTTGATGTTGGGTAAAACTGACCAAGTGATGTTTAGTCACCATATTTATACAATTCAAGACAAAGCACAAATGCACTAGCCAGACATACGCTCAAACCAGAAACTAGTGATCTGTACCAGAATCCACCCCATCAATCTTTTCACACACAAATTGCATTCATGCTGATCTCCCTAAGCCTCCCCACTCCTGAACTTAACTGAAAGGAACTGGCTATAGGTTTCAAGACTGATTGAGCCACCTTCCCACCCAAGCGGTTGCCTTCAAGAGATGCTGGCCCTGAATGGCCGCAATCCACTCAGCTAAATTGATTGTCAGACATTACAGGAGTTGGTCCAGTATGTTCACAGAGCAGCAATCGGGGGGGGGGGGGGAAATATTAGAAGATGGGGTCCACCCAGAGGTCTACTAGCATATCCCAACCTACCTTCTGCTTCCGTGTGGCACTCCACACCTGGGACTGCTATTAGGAAACAATGAGTTTGCCTTCAACTTTGTGCTAACTGATCTTTGCCCCATCAAACATCCCTGCCCAGTAGGATTATTTCCTTGTACTGCCTGGCTCCACCCTGCTGCCCTTGTGCTCAGCCCTTGTGCTGCCCAGATGTCACTGTATTCATTTTCCATCTGCCCACCACCAGGCTGCCTTTATTCACTCTTGCATTATTTATTATTACTACTATTGATTTTCTTGACTGGGATCTTGGGGTGTGCCTGCATATGAGAAAAGCAGAATATTAATACATATCAGAAGTGAGTGACAGCTTCGATTATGGACAAGTCCATTTTCCAAGTCTAACTCATATTTAACTTCTGGGAGTGCCAGGATCTTCCTTTCACCAACCTCTTTCCTTGCATTGACTCCACCACAATGGATGCCAATTGCCTCTCCTATAGGGGCTTCCTTTCCACTCAAATCTTGAGTGCAATTCCCGGGCCATCCCTAGATGGCAGCAAACGATTGAGGTTCTTTATGCTCCTTTGCTGCCATCTTGTGGTAGTTCTGGTTTCTGCAGCCATGCAGATCATAGATGCTTTGTACGCTATTCTACGGCATCCTTTTTTCTGCCGCACACCAACCTCGCCCACCTCACCCTCTGACCCACTCACCTCCCCCACGGGAGCAGGGTGGGCTCAAGCCAGGCCCCTCCCCTTCAGCCCCGCCTGGACTCCGGGGCAACAGCTCCGCAGGATGCCTCGACCTGAAAGACAGAGGACGGGAGGGCGACAGTGCGCATGCTCCCAAAAGGCCCCGTCGCCCCCCCTTAATGGAACAGTTACTCTGTACATCCGGGTACCCGCCTGCTTAAAACGAGAGAGGCTGGTTGACTCCCTCGGGTGGCGATAAAAGCTGCGCATGCGCAGAAAGTAAAATCGCGTCCGCAGTGAAGGGTCAAAGAAAAGGGAGTGATGGAAGACTAAGTCAATCGAGGTTGCTGGGGGGCGCGTGCGCAAGCGGTAGCGCTCAGCTGCACGTGGTATTAGCGCGATCAGTGGGGGTGGGTGCGCATGTGGGCGGTGCCGCCTCTGTCTCTTTCATTAGACAACATGAGGGGAGTGGAGGGAGTCTTAACTCTGACCCTTGACTAATTTTTATAGGTTGTGTGAAGCTAAAAATCAACATTTGAGTAATTGCACTTGCGCACATAATTTTTGATATCTCCTGCTGGTAAATTATGGCTGGGGCCACGCCATAATTCAATGACACACAGTCCCAACAGATTTAATCTGAGGAGGTGATTACATTTTGGGATCCCTACACATGATCTATATTATAGAAGCTTTTGTGTGATCCAGATCATAGAAGCTTTGAAGTACACTATGTTGCATTAATTCAACAGTTAATAAAGATTTAAGATGTGAAGCCACTTAATTAGGCTGAGGGCAAGAGTTTACTGTAAAACCTGAACTCCAGAATATTCTTGGAAACCGTTTCCAAATCTTTTATTATTTTGTGCTCCATTTAAAAAATACGTTCGCATCTTAAAAGATGAATGTTACTTCTGTTGACTTGTCATCCACTACATCTCTGAACTACTTATATTTGTGTGTTCTTTTTAAGATGCTAAGACATGTGATTGTAAAACATGGCACAGGTAGCCCTTGACATATAACCACAACTGAGAAGTTTCCATTAGTAATCCCAAAGGTACTTTTTCAAGAGGCAACTGGACTTTATTTTTCCTCTGAAGACATTTCGCTTCTCATCCAAGAAGCTTCTTCAGCTCTGACAGGATGGTGGGGAATGGAAGGATTTATATTCTTTGCAGACAGCTGGTCATTTGCATCATTTTAGAGGGTCCTTGAAGCACTTGGAGGTTTATTTGTGTCCTCAGGGTGACCTGAGTGGTACTCCTGGTTCCTATAGTCTGCATTCCGCCCCCCTCTGGAAATCCATTCCTATCCCCACACCATTCAATGTCTTCAAAAGAAAAAAAACAAGAAAGTCCAGTTGTCTCCTATAAAAGCACCTTTGGAATGACCATGATTGAAAATCTGTACAGACTTTTAGCTATACAATTTGAGATGAACACCCTTTGAATGGGCTTGATTGGTGGAAAGAAACAGAGAACCTAGTTGGAAAATATCACTTTAAAGAAACTGATGACCAGATGGAAAGCTATGGCTGGGAAAAGCCCAGTACCAAATTGATGGCTACAAAGGCTTATGTCACACAGACACCAAATTTTAAGTCTAGAACATCTTACTGGATCAGATGTATGCTTTATATCAAGAGCAATAGCACGCCCCTCTATTTCCCTTTGGGCAATTCCATATCTGGAACAGAAGCTACTATAATTCAAATCTCAGAAATGTTTCCCTACCTCTTTCATTATAATCCTGCCAACCTTGCTTTGCTGAGCTTGGAAAGGTGGCTGGTAGAAATTCATTGAGACTACTTGGTATTCCTTTGCTAGGGTTACCAAACTTGCAACATGTCATCATGTGACGTATCACAACTTTCCCCTTCATTAAACCAGAAGTCGGCATGGCCACAGCGTGAGTCATCCAGCCCACGGGCCGTGAGTTTGGCACCCCCGCTTTATCAGGTCAATAAATGCTACATGTGCATTTTAAGAGGCTTAAGTATTTCAGGTGAGAATGCAATTGTTTAGTGTCTGTTCTCATATATTACCCATAATACCTTTGCCAAGATTCTTTCAAATTAGATTAATAAAGCCTCACTCGATTTTTCATGACTGTGTGCTCTGCAAAGATTTTAAAGAGGAAGCACCATTTGAATAAAAAATTTACTGTTATATATATATTTGGCTTCCAGTCCAGTTGCCTTTGAAAACAACACCTTTGGGACAACCGTGACCTGGATGATTGAGAATCTCCAAAGACATTTGGCTTCATGGAAGTTATTAGTCAAATTGTTTGAAAACAATTTGTAGTGATTTATGTGAATTCAAAACACAACATCCATAGCAGTACAGCAACTCTGATTCTGGAAAGCTAGGGAATCCAGGAGCAACGGTTATCCTTGACCATTAGCAATGAGGGAATACATTACAATTTTTTATCATCTACAAAACAAGGTTTAACTGGGCCAATGCTTTTTAAAATTCAAAATAATCATTGTAGGTTGGCTACACCCCAATTTTAATGTAGGATGAAAAATGTATACAATCTTTGTAATAATATTCCAAATAACTAAAGCAGAATTTTTGACAAAGACCAAGGAAACTGAAAAAAGGAAATGATCTGAGACAGCATTGTCTAAAATTTAAAAATTAATCATTTTCCTTTATTTTTCCACTGAAAATATTATTATTTTCTTTATGTAGAACGTTGATGCTGAAGGAGTATATGAATCAATATTGGCTTCTGCTTATATTATTGTATACTGTCAGAAATTAGTTGTTTTCTAGCCTAGCAAATTGTAACCTTAATACCGGACTGCAAATCTCACTGCTGTGTCTCGCTTCTATTCTTGGCTTCAAAGCTTGGGACATTCTTGAAAGCTAGTAGAAGAAATTGTTACACAGGAATATCTAACTGTATAGATAAAGGAACCAAACTAGGGAGTTTTCCTGGGTCATAAATCGTTAAAGCATTATGCCGAAAAATAAGATGACCAACTTTTTTACAATGAAAAGGACAAATAAATTGGGAAAAAAATGGTAAATAAAAGAAATATTTTATTCATTGCAACAATAATACACTATAATATTATACATGCATAATAAAAACATTTGTAACATTTTATATTGTAATTATGCTTACATGCCTGTTAATTATTACTTAAA